CTTCTGTGTATTTATCCAACGAACATGAAAACACTAATTTGAAATGATATATGCACCCCCATGTTCATTGCAGCATTATTCACAATAGCCAAGACTTGGAAACAACCTAAGTGGCCATCAGCGGATGAATGGATAAAGAAGATGTGGTATATACACACAATGGAATACTACTCAACCATAATAAAGACGAAATCTTGCCATTTGTGACCACATGGATGGACCTTGAGGGCATTATACTAAGTGAAATAAGTCAGACAGAGAAAGCCAAATACTGTACAATTTCACTCATGTGTGGAAGATAAAAACAACAACAACAACGAACAAACACACAGACACAGAGAATAGATTGGTGGTTACCAGAGGGAAAGTGGGGAGAGTGAAAGGAGTGAAGGGGGTAAAAGGTCACATGAGTACAGTGACAGATGGCAATTAGTGTTTGGGTGGTGAACGTCATGTGGTCTACACAGAAATCAAAATATAATGATGTAGGGGCCGGCCCGGTGGCGCAAGCGGATAAGTGCGCGCGTTCTGCTGTGGCGGGCTGGGGTTCGCTGGTTTGGATCCGGGGTGCACACACACACCGCTTGTCAAGCCATGCTGTGGCGGTATCCCATATAAAGTGGAGGAAGATGGGCACAGACATTAGCCCAGTGCCAGTCTTCCTCAGCAAAGAGAAGAGGATTGGCAGATGTTAGCTCAGGGATGATCTTCCTCTCACACACAAAATATATATATATATATATATATATATATATATAAAATAATGTACACCTGAGATTCATATACTGTTATAAACTAATGTTACCTCAATAAAAAATTAATTAAAAAGAAAAAAAGTTGTTTTGGCTATTCTAGTGCACTTCCATATGAAGTACTAGCTTGTTAATGTTTTAGAAAACACTGTGCTGGGATTTTAATTGGGATTGTGTTGAAGTTATAGACCACTGTAAGGAGAATTGATATCTTAATGCTATGGAGTCTTCTGATCCCTGAACACAGTATATCTTTTCATTTATTTAGGTCTTTAATTTTTATCAGCAGTGTTCTTTTGCAGTTTTTGGTTTTTAAAACCAACTAGAATAAGATAATTCATTTTCTTTCTTATACGTTTTGCTGGCAGTTTGCTGTGAATTACAGCGAAAAGTGAGGTCAACATGAAAGTGACACATATCACTTCAACTCACTACTCTTTGGCCAGAACTAATCATATGTTCCCACCCGACTGTAAGAGAGCCAGGAAGTACAATTCTGCTACATACCTGCAAAGGAAGAAAACCAGAAATATTTGGTGAACATCACATCATATCATTGGTTGCCTAACCAACAGCCATTCCCCATCTCTTATTCCTTGCTAAGGGAACCCAAGTTTTGTCCACTCTCTTCTAGGTGAACATCTGCTTCAGGAAAGACCAGACCTTTCCTGGTAATCCCATTCCTCTTTGCTGGTTATTGGGTTAGCAATGTTCTGGCTAGGAGACATAAAGATGTCTATTTCTGGGACTTCTGGGAAGGTTTTTCTCTCTCTTAAAAAGCGACATCAGACACGGGCACTTATCTTTCCTGCTCTTATCTGGTGCTGTCTGATGATGTGCTTCCTTGAAGTTGAAACCAAAAGGGAATGGCAAACACTCCAAGGCTGGACAGATTCTGGATGACTGAGGGCACTGGTGTACAATGTTGAAATAATCAACCCTGGAACCACCCTACCCTTAGACCTCTTGTTATATAAAATAATAAATGTCCTTATTCTGGGCCTTTTCTGCTTGGGTTTTCTGTAATTTGAAGTCAAAACCATCTAATTAGTACTGAATGCTAAAGGTGAGACAGGAATTGTGCTAAGCACTTCATCTGCATAAAGGTAATACAATCTAATCTAATCCCCATAATAACACTGTGATATAGTCGTGTTTATCATATACATTTTATGGATGGGGAAATTAAAGCATAAAGAAGTTAAATCCTTGCAGAAGGCCACACAACTACAAAGTGGTAAAAACAAAGATTAAAACTTTAGGCCTAACTGACACTAAATATAACTTGAAATCATTTGTAAATGTTTCATGTCTTCCCTACTTTTAGTTTTTCTCTGAAGCACATGTAAAAAGTATAATTGCAGTGTTTCACTCTAAGCACCCAGAAATTTCCAGGGGTATACAAAAATATTAGATAATGTAGAATCTGATTAACTTTATAATTTACTGCTATGTAACTTTAGGCAAGCATTCACTCTCTCTCTCTTTTTTTTTTGGTGAGGAAGATTGGCCCTGAGCTAAAATCTGTTGCCGATCTTCCTCTTTTTGCTTGAGGAAGATTGTCCCTGAGCTAACATCTGTGCCAACCTTCCTCTATTTTTTGTATGTGGGACGCTGCCACAGCATGGCTTGATGAGCAGTGTGTAGGTCTGTGCCAGGATCTGAACCTGCAAACCCTGAGCAGCCGGAGCGGAGTGTGCAAACTTAACCACTATGCCACTGGGCTGGCCCCAAGTATTCTCTTTTATTTCAATGAACATGTTCATATCCTCGCTAGGCACTAGGAATACAAACATTTAGACATTTATCCAAAAAGAATGGCAAGAAGGCAAAAAGAAGCAAAACATTATGCCCTATTCACAACAATTCTATAAGATGAGTATTAAATATACCCATTTACTGATGGGAAACTTGAGGCTCAAAAGGCAAAGTAAGTAGTCAAGCCACAAAGCTAGTAAATGATGGAGTCAATAAGTGGTGGAACTAAGAAGTTATGGAGTGAGATTGAAAGCAATATGTATCTGACCCCATGTAAAATGTTTTCAGCTTTACCACCATATATTAGGTGCATCTAGATATTATCTACTGTCTATGTTTTGTCCTGAAATGAAGCTAGGCTTCATGATCAGCTGGGCCTGGCTTTCATCCCTACCTCATTAATTACTGTGAAAATTAATAAGGGGAAACTTCATTTAAAATGAAGTCAGGAGGCCAGAAAGAGGAGCTCCCACATATTGGAGGTCAATTACAGGAAAGCTAGTCAATTACAGACCTCAACAGAAAGAAGTCAACAACTGGAAAGAATAGTCAATTAGAGGTAGAAATGTACAGTGCATCCCAAACAGAAATCTACTACCCCAGCAACTCACCAGTAAGAAGCCATCATCACACTGAACTCTTGCTTTCCTCCAATCGCTTTCATTCAAGACAAACTCTCCCAATTTCTCCTTTTTTCCTTATCAAATAGTGTTCTTCTCCTTTGATTGTTGGATTTGCCTATGGTCCGCCATAGCATGTGCATCTCAAATTGCAATTTTTTGGCTATTCCTGAATAAACTTGTTTTGCAGGTAAAATAACTGCCTGTTTTATTTTTAAGGTTGACATTACCAATAGCATGGACTTGGGCCAATTTTTAACCTTACCAGCCTGTTTCCTCATTTCTATCATGAGATAACATAACTACTTCATAAAGTTTTGTGAGGACTGGAAAACAAAAACAGTGCCCCTGGCACTTAATAAATGACAGGCATTATTATTGCACAGCTAAGGAAATTGGGATACACAGAGATAAGGGTAGTAGTAAATGTTCACCCAGTTCACTGGTAACCATGCTAGGACTAGAATATAGGACCTATCTCTACTTATCCAGATCTCTTTCTAGCAGCCAACCAAAGAGAATTAGGAGCTCAAGGATTATGAAGAAAGTGTTTGGAGAGTAGAGATGACCAATCCTAATTCCAGATTCTAAAATATGGCCCACTGATAAATATTTATTGTGTGTCTATGCAGCTGTAGCTGCTGATGAAACAGTGACAAACAAGATAGACAAGGTTCCTGCTCTCAAGGAGCTTATATTCTAGTAACAGCAAATAATAAACAAAATAATTTCAAACAGTGGTAAATGATAACAGCTTGATGTGGGAGAGCCTGTCTAGGTAAGGGATGGAATCCTGCCTTAAATGATGAGAAAGAGGCATCCATATGAAGTACTGGGAGGAAAATTGTCCTGTGCAGGAGGAAACTATGCAAGTGGAAAGTTTGCTTGATGGTAATGAACTTGGTGTGTTCAAGGGACAGAAGGAAATTAGTGCATCTGAATACAGTAAGTGAGGATGAGAGTGGTGGGAGATGAGATTCATGGAGGTAAGCAGAGGCCAGATCAGGCAGGGTCTTGAGGGTCATGGTAAGGAATTGAGGGTTTTTTTGTCATTGCAATGGGGAGCTACTGGAGTGCCTACGTAGAGGTGTTATCATACTTGGTCTATATTTTTAAAAAGATCACTCTGATTGCTTTTTGGAGAATGGATCACAGGAAGACCAGAGCAGAAGCAGTTAGGGTGGCTGGGATTTAGTTTATGTTAGTACACTTGTATACAAGCAAATGGAAATTCTTATCATCTTTCTTGACCTCCCAAACTAAAGGGTTCCACCTTCCTATTCCATCATCTCATATAGCACTAACTATCATTTAATCATTTATTTGTTTATTGTCTGTCACTCCCATCGAGGGTTGCCAGATAAAATACAGACGCTGTTAAATTTGCATTTCAGGTAATGAATATTTTTTAACTGTATGTGTTCCTAAATACTGCACGGGAATTGCGTGATACTGAAACGTTATCTGAAGCTAAACCGGGCATCCTGTAGTTTTGTTTGCTAAATCTGGCAACTCTACCCCCACTAGAATGTAAACTCCAGGAGGGCAGGAACGATTTGTCTGGTTCCCCAACGCATATCTAGGAAGTAGTATAGTGGCTGCCAGGCACACAGTAGGAGCCCACACATGCTTACTGAATGAATTAATGAACGATTTAACAAAATAATGAGGGACTGAAAGAAAGGATGAACGAGAGACCCTCGGTGCGGGGTGTGGGGGAAGACGTGGAGGATCAGCCCGGTGCGGAACTTTAGATTGGTGTGCAGCGGCCAAGGCAGACGGCGGCCGACGCGCTGAGGTCACGGACACCGGCGGCCCTGGTGACGTCATCACGCCCGCGCTCTCGGGCTCGCCGGGGCTTAAGTGGCACCGGCGCCTCCCTGGGTGTTGTGGTGATTGGGGGCTTTCGGGTGACCCCGGCCCAGCGCAGGCCGCCTGTGGAGCCGTCCGGTCCCAGCAGTGGCCCCTGAGCCTCCCTGTCTCTGTCATTGGCCGTCAGCCAGCAGGCCTGGCCGCCCCCCAGCGGGGAGAACATCTCCTCAGGGCCATGTCGAGGCCGAGCAGCGTTTCCCCGCGGCCGCCGGCTCCTGGCGGTGGCGGGGGTGGCGGGGGCGGCCTCTCTCAGTGTGGCCCTGGGGGCGGCGGCCGGGCCAAGGGGCTGAAGGACATTCGTATAGACGAGGAGGTGAAGATCGCAGTCAATATCGCTCTGGAGCGCTTCCGATACGGGGACCAGAGAGGTGAGGTTCCCGACAGGGACCCCGCCGGCTGCCCCACCTCCCCCTAACCCGGCGCCCGGTGTGAAGGGGCTGCCCCAGCGGAGGGAGGGAAGACCCGGGCAGAGGCGGGCCGGGGGCCTGGGCCGCGGTGGTTACCCCCGGCGGGAGGTGAAGAACCGCACGGCGTCCTGCGCATCGGCAGCGTTGTGGGGCACTTGCCTGGCATCAGAAGGTGGAAAAGTCAGGTTGCCCCCTTGCAGGAGACGTTTCTTCCCCCGAGGGAGAGGCCTATCTGCGGCAGCTTTGGGCGGCTAAGCCACAGTTTTTAGATATTAGTAAGCCCCTACCTTTTTTCTTCTTTCTTTTTTTAAAGGAGGTTATGGTAGCCTTAACGTTTGCGCCACAGAGGTGGAAGAGCGGAAGGAAATCAGACAAATAAATGCACTGGCAATCTGTAGTGCTTTGATTAATTCCTAGAAGCATCACGTTAGACACTTAAAATGAAACTTGTTTTGGTATAGGAGACTCCTTCCACACCTCTTAAGGTTAGAAAGCTACTTGTCTTGGGTCACATGATACGGAACCAGCAGCCGACCTGTGGTAATCGGTACAGTAGAATGATGCTCATTCCGATTTGCTGGCCTAGATAGGGGGTCCCTTACTCTGGAAGTTCACAGTCCAAAACAGGGAATGACCTGGACAGAGTGATTCTGGACTTAACGTTAAACAAAGGTAAAGCTTCGGCGATATAGAACAAATCCAGTCTGAGATAGTGATGAATTATCACTAATGAGATAGAATATGAATTTTATACAGTTTTGAAGGCAAAGACAGTGGAGTTTGATGTTGAGCATTCCTAATACTTGAGCATCCTCATCGTGGAAGGAAATAAACACTCTGTTAATTAAGCAAGTAAGGACTAAGTTAAAATAGTAAAATATCATCAACCATTGTACCAGTTCAAGATTCCAGCACAAATAAGAGGAGTAATCTTTGGTGAACATTAGAGTCCTTTATCACGTTTAGGCTTAATTTTTATTAATATCATAACTGGTAGACATTCAGTAGTTACTGAATTAATATCTACTTTTCACATAAAATATAATACGTTTGATTATACGCTATATGGCTTTTTTCATGTTTTATTTCTATATATGTGTATTGAAGCACCTTTGAAGAAAATTGCCTATCCTCAAATGGTACTTTGTGTTTTTTTCCATGTAGAAATGGAATTTCCTTCTTCTTTGACCAGTACTGAAAGAGCCTTTATTCATCGATTGAGTCAGTCTCTTGGTTTGGTCTCTAAAAGTAAAGGGTAAGCTGATAGCTTTTTTTATTTAAAAAAAACTCGTTACCAAAAAAAGAGAAATGTTTCTGACTGTATTTACATAGTTATTACTGTTCTAGATTCACATCCTTAATTATATTGTGTGTAGATAAACTGATTCATGTCTATCAAACTCAGCTCTTTCTTTTTTCTCCTATCCCCCTTTTTTTGTTTTCCCTAGGAGACAACAAAGAAATAAATTTTAAGATTTACTTAAAAGTAAGAAAAAAATAGCTTAAAAGTTGAAACTGATTGCTTGAGAAAAATATTTTCTTTTCTCATAGAAGCTAAATCTTTTTCTAAGAATGTATGGAATAAAGATAATAAGTACAATTATTTACAGAACTTATCTCTTTTAATGTTACTGTACCATAATGGTAAGCTTTAGAGTGCATGTTCATTGTTTTCTTTCCTACCAACTCAAGAATCTGATGATTAGAAATGATGAGGTAAAACAGAAGAGGAGGAAACAGTATATATTTTTTGAAAGTTCACTGATCCGTACAGAGAAGAAGTGATTTGAGCCATTCCAGTTGAAGAACTCTGAAATTCTGTGGAGCTACTTCATTTTGGGAATAAGGATAGTGGGATTCAGATATAGCAGGGTTTCTCAATGTTGACATTTTGGACTGGATAATTCTTTATTGTGGAGGGCTGTTTTGTGCATTGTAGGATGTTTAGCAGCATACCTAGCCTTTACCCACTAGATGCCAGTAACACCTCCACCTCCAGTTGTGACAACCAAAAATGCCTCTAGACATTGCCAAAATGTTCCCTGGGGAGCAAAATTGTTCCTGGTTGAGAACCACTGAGACAGGGAAAAAAAATAAAATTTCAACTTACCAGTTTTTAGGTTAAGAAGAGGGAAAACAAAACTTTATTAAGTAACTATATTAATAAATAAATAGTAGGAAGGTCCTAAGATGAAATTAGCTGATGTAGGGATGTCTTGCATATGAGTACCCACCACAGTGATTACATTACTGACTGAGACAGAGGCTTTAGCTTAGATGAATGTGCATTTTGAACATCGTTAAGGCCAGTGCGGGGGAACAGTGGTTAGGTTCCTGAGCATGCCCAAATTATTGTCCTCTGCATAGATAAAATTCTGCACTTGAAAATAAAAGTAGAGAGTCATAATTCTTTATCCCAAAACACCTGGACCAAATACGTTTTGAGATTCAGATTTTTCAGATTTTAGAAAGGTATTAGAAAGGGTATATTTGCAATATGTTATGTAACATTCTTAACAAGGTATAGGCATCACCTTTAATCACCTTAATATTTCTGCTGGAAAGTGTATGAATATTCCCACTAAGATAAAGACAGACTAGAAATAGCCTCATGTCAATTTAATCAGGATTTGCTGCCAAATGAAGTTGTTGCAAACTTACAAAAATCTTTCAGTTTTCAGAGCTGTTTGGGTTTAAGAGGTTGCAGGTAAGAGGTTGTGGGCCTGCACTAGAAAACATCTGTTATAAATGCACGGTTCTGCAGCTACATCATTTCTGTGGTTAAATGGGTTTTGAATTCTGAGTGGTTAACTTAGAAATGACCATTGGAAATTACTCATAGAGAAGCAGTCAATTAGAATAGACTGCCTCTACTTTTGTACAGTAGCATGATTGTTTAAGGGATGGTCCAGAATGGAGAAACTTCTGGGGAAGCGGAGAGCAAGAAAGAAGTTATCAGGTCAAACAAGAGAGATAGGGAAACATTGAAGAGACAGAGAGAGGAAAAAGGAAAGAGATGCTGAGGGAAGCAAGGCAACCGTGTCTACTTATCCAGTCCGTAATACGTATACCTAGTGCTCTGCAAACTCGCTTATGAAATTTCCTAACTCTTTTCTTTCCCTTTTTATCTCTGAGCAAACTTAGTACAATAATTATCTAGTAGTCCTTTTGATTTTCAAATGCCTTTCCTTCTTTTCACATATATAAAGAACTAAGTAATTTTAAATATACTTCTCAAATCCTTTCTTTTCATTTATTTGAGAATTTGTACCTGACTGATATTTCATGGGTTTTTCTTCACCCTTGAGTAAAGATTTTTTTTAACCTCCTAGCATTAACTTCATTAACTTATTAGCGAGTTAGTTTTTCTGCTTTATTTCTTTTCTGCCTGATGTTATGGTTCCTTAATACATATTTGAGAGAAAACCTGGTGTGAAGAAAGGACAGGAAAACTGGGTTCTACTCCGTCTCTCGCTGCCTCATTCTCTGGCTTTGGTTGTGTCTTGTAACTTTAAAGCCCCGTTTTCTTAAATGTAAAATACGAAGGAGTTACTCTCTTTGTTTTAGTTAAGACTCTGTAGTTCATTTTGAGCTTCTTCCGAGGTTTTTAAAAATAGATTCTAGGCTTACTCTGTGATAATTTACAATATTTTTTCTGATCACTTTCTCCTTTGTGATCTCCTTCCTTTCAAAATAAAGCCATGTGTGTTGGATTTTGTTTTTCTTCTCTTCCTAAAGAGTTGAATTTACTTTGCAATTGATTATTTTTTATAATTGCTCATCTTTTGGTGAAGATATTCTTGGTGGAGTAACATCTTCATTTTGTGTTCTTTAGTATATCCTAATGTTTTCTTTGAAATTTTAGTCAAGTTTTCCCATACCAAAAATTTCACCTCCTTAGAATTTGTTTCCTTTTTTCCTCAACTGAGATCACTGTGTTTTGGTTTTAAGAGCACACTTTCCTGAGCCTTTGAGTTGCTTATGAACAAAACAAAATCTCTTTCCTATTCTTTTAGTCCATTTTAGACAAAATGAAATTTACAAAATGAGCTTTGTTAAAAACTGTGGAAAGAAAAAATATAATGTATATGAAAGTAGGTTTTCCAAGTTTCTTTCCTGTGATTGCTTACGTCACTGCTTAGTAAGTATTCAAGTGCTCTCCTCATCCTAATGAGGAATTTTGATCCTACAAGGAGGCCCCTATTTTCAGATTTAGGTTACTGGCTCCCTTGCCTCTTGCCTTGGAAGAAAGGTCCCCCTTTCTTTCCCAGCTAAAATAGAAAAAATGGGTTAAAAGTGATGAACTCTCTTAGTGAATTTTTGGACATCTATTAAAAAGAAAAAGGCTATGGTGCCCAATAATAATAATTATAACAGCAGCTAACATTTATTAAGTGCTCTTGTGCAACAGTCATTGTGCTAGGTGCTTTAAATAGCTAATCATTTAATCCTCACAATAGTTGTATTAGTAGGTTCTCTTATTAACATCTGGTACCTGTATAACAGATAAAGCAATTCAAGCTTGTGGAGGTTAAGTAATTTTCCCAAGATCACACAGCTGGCAAGTGGCAGAGCGAAGATTTGAAGATAGTTAATGTTTAATTAATTTTTGATGTTCGCAGTGAGTTCAAAGCAATGTCCTGGGAACTTACTTTTGCTGAGGAAGTTAAAACAGTTTAACTGTGAGCAGTTAAAACAGAAATATTAGATAGATCTCATCTCTAAAGTTGCTTCTAGTCATTAAGTCACAGAAAGAACAAATTTACCTCAAACATAGTGTTTATGACGTGAAAGCAGCTGTGTTTTGTGACCAAGTTAACTGGTTGGTTTATTAATTTCTAGGTAATCATAAAAAAAGTACAAATTAGTATGATGCAAACTGCAATAAATTTGCAATTTTATTTTACAGTATTGGGGAGAAGATGGTTTGGAATTAGGTCTTTGCATCTATCTGCCTAACAGAAGTATAAATTAAGGAGATACTAAATTAAGCATTTAATAGGCATCAAACGAACGTGTATTATTCTTTTAGAGACATTAACTCTTTGGTGGCTGTGAGCTTTTTAAGTAGTCATTTCAGATTTTGGCTCTTAAGATGATCTTTTAAACTGTTTACAGATTTGGAAAGTGGAGAATAACAAGGCATATGGTTGTATTTGAGTTAAATATTCAGTACCATGCTGTGTAAATTGATAAATTGATTAATATTAAAATCACATCAAATTTGATTAGTTATATTATCATTTTCCTTTAAAAGGAAGAAGACACTGAAATGCCAGAACTTCATTATAGCATGTATTTATTACTTTTATCTTTTGAAAATGAGAAGTTATGATGTTCTTATCTGTAATTTTAGTACCTTTACTTTTATACTTAAAAATTGCATATGGGGCTTGCATTTTATAATTTAAAAAAATTCTTATAATTAAAAAAAAAGTTCATTTTTTTAGCATCTTTTCCATATGTGCAGCTAGTTTCTAGTTGATTTTGCTTTGTAAAGGAGACTCTTACTTTTTTCATCAAAGTGTAGTGTCAGTTACCTTGGAATGAAAACATAATGAGGAGATCTCAATATGTTAGTTTACGTAGTAGGACAAATGTCTACTGTATTGGATGTTTCCATCCTCACAAGAATGAGGTGAATATTTTAGTAAAATTTTCACTAATCTTTTTATTGTATATCAGTGTCACTGTGGTGCTGAATGTGGTAGGAACGAGCTCTAATAGCCACAAGTAGAATCTTTTACTAAAATGCAAAAACTATCAAGTTGGTATTGTCTTTCTGCCCTACTATCCATGTTCAAACTGAATTCAGTAAATTTTAAATGGTAATGGCTAAGTACTCACACCTGCTTCGTATGAATTATTTTTGTACATAAATGCTATATTATTATTAGGCAACGTATGTTAGGAAAGTTTCAATCTGACCCGTTACTTTAGTTGTGAGCTTATTGAGGAAAAAGTATATTTTACTCAACTTTGTAATCCCAGCTTCTAGCATAGTGCCTGGCATACAGTAGGTGCTCAATATATAATGAATGAATAAAAGAAAATTAGTTAAAGGTGAAATATAGCAAAACTTTACTGAGATGATTTTTAAGAAAATTAAAGCATCTTGGAGCTGATAGAAATAGTAGGGGTTTTTAATTTTTTTTAAATTGGTGTTTTTTTTTTTTTTTTGGTTAGGAAGGTTAGCTCTGAGCTAACATCTGTTACCAATCCTCCTCTTTTTGCTGAGGAAGATTGGCCCTGAGCTAACATCTGTGCCCATCTTCCTCTATTTTACATGTGGGACTCCTGCCATAGCGTGCCTTGGTGAGTGGTGTGTAGGTCCGCGCCCGGGATCTGAACCTGCGAACCCAGGGCTGCCGAAGTGGAGCACTCGAACTTAACCACTATACCACCAGGCCAGCCCCAGGGATTTTTAAATTAACTAGTATACGGTGTCAGAGAAGTAAAATGATTTATTTTTGATCATGTAGCTAGTTAGTTGAGATTATTACTAGCTGTGCACAAACTGCCTGACTCTTGCTCTAGTGCTCATTTCAGCATACTTCCTGCTCTCCATAGTTAAAATTTTATGAAGTAAATGGCACAGAAGGGGAATGAATGATTGAGTCTATGACAACTGTGCTGAAGTTTCAGGAAGGTCCCTAGGGAAAGAACCTACTACAGAGACCATCTCTAGAATCCAGTAATTCTGATTTACCATGGAAATAACTAAAATTTCTAGATCAGGTTAAATTTAATTATTTCATCTTTATAACCATCATTTAAGCATCACTAAGCACCTCTTCAGGAGTAGATGATAGCATAGAAAGCTTATAATTCATTTAAGCATTCTATAAGGAGTTTCCAGAAATTAAAAATTTTGGTGAATTGAAAGCCTCACTTAGTTGGCTAAAACTGTATAGGTTAATCCCCAATTTTATATCATTCTTACCATGAAGATATCATTGAAAAATTTAAATCTATTGAAAATTAGGAAAATTATACATGTAATTTTCATTATATTTGTGGCTATGTTGCTTATTTCTATAATGTGATAGTGACATTAACAAATGATAAAACATTTTATGAAATATTTTGGGTAACTTATTTTTAAATATAAGAAATGATATTTGTTCCTGACTATAATTATAATAATAGCTTTCATTTTTTTAGTGCTTACTCTGTGACAGATAACTGCCTTCTACATGCATTCTTATTTAGTCATATGAATAGTCCTTTGAGGCAGATATTATCATCATCTTAGACTCAGAGATATTTTTGCTTATAGTCCCACAGTTAGTAAGTGGTAGAGCTGGGATTCAAACCCAGGTCAGTGTGCTTTCGGAGCCTGAGCTCTTTACCAGTTTGACCATATTGTGCTAGGTTATAGATATGTATTGTTAAATCATTCAAAACACATTTGAGGACTTCCTGTGTGTGTAACGTTGTACTTAGTACTCTTGGAGCTATAAAAGTCATAAAAGACATGGTCAGTCCTGGCCCAGTTGAAAAAACAAATATGTCAAATAATTTGAGAAGAGTTATAAATTATCGTTACTTGTAATTGAAGGCTAGAACCAGAAGCTTTGAAAAAAAATTTTTTTTTCAATATGCATCTGAAAATACTTATCAGTAATGCTGGTTTATGCTTTTTTGGTCCAGTCACTAAACTTGGCTCTCTTAACAGGTTTTCATGGGAGTGTGACATTACCAGTATACTGTGGAAACCTTCAGTGGGATATATTAGTCTGGACCGTAACTTTTTTATCGTTATTTTTAGATTCTGTTGTTCAGATTGGTTTTATCCCTCTATATAGTTTCCCAGCATGTATTAACTGGTGATGTTTCATCCACCATGCAGACTGCTAAGACAAACTTTAACACTTACGGGTAAGTAAGCCATTTTTACTGATTTAAAATTGGATGCAGCATTTTAAAATTTTAATTGAAAATGGTCTCATGGCTACGTTAGCACTAAACTCCTCTGTATTGAATTTTTTGGGATTTTCAGCATCTTCTCCAAAAGCATTTTGATTTTTTTCAATGTTTTGCTTAAGACGTGTTTTCTAAGTAGGCATACATCATATGTGAACAAGTTGACTATATATAGTAAATAAATGATTTTTATTAATATTCAGAAAGGGAGCAAATAGATACCTCACTGTGAAGAAGAAAGATGGATCAGAAACAGCTCATGCAATGATGACCTGTAATTTGACTCATAATACAAAACATGCTGTTAGGAGTCTAATTCAAAGATTTCCTGTCACCAATAAAGAGCGTACTGAACTTCTGCCTAAAACAGAAAGAGGAAATGTGTTTGCAGTTGAAGCTGGTATGTATTTTCTGGGGAGCTTCATTGTTTATCCTATTATTTGATGACTGTTCTTTTTCCATTTTAAATTTATTTTTAAAAACTAAGATGAAATAACATTTCTCAATTTGAATAGTTTGTTAGAAATGATAGAGTTGTGAAAATTTTGGAGTGAAATGCAGTGTTAAGGTGTATCATAATGTTAGACAAGTTTTTTTTTTAAGTGTCATAGTAATAGCTACCATTTATTGAGGACTTATTGTGTGCTAGGCAGTATACTAAACTCTTTATATAGGGCCTCAAAACAACCCTTGCAAGGTAAAAATTTCCCCCATTTCACAGGTGAAGAAATTGGGGCTCAGAGAAGTTAAATAATTTTTTCAAGGCCATTCAATCAGCTAGTAAACTGCAGAGCTAGGATTTGACTCCAAGGTCTGGACTTTCCTATATGCCATGTCACTGCCGTGACATGCTAATAAGTGAGATTTTGAATTGGAGTTTTAGCTGCTGGTAAGAGACAGGACAGAGTCTTCGGTGCAATAACTTTCTGAAAGGTAGATAAATAATATATTTAGGTTATAAATTGAAGTTGTAATTTCACTATTTGGAAAAATAACTTCCCTAGTGAGAAAATTATTTTATTACCTGAAGTGACAGAATTTGCATAATTTCCATTGTCTGTTGGAGTAGGTATGCAGGATATCCATGGTCCTAGATATCAAGGAATTTAAGTTTTAAATACATGCACACAAAGCTATTTTGCATTGTGGGAAGAATATAAAACATATCATGCCTCATTTTTAATTCCTGTCTGCTTAGTGAAATGTAGATGTTGGCTCAAATGCTCAGTGAAGAAATTTGTTAAGCATTAGGACCTTATATTTACACATGTTATTCTATTTGATCACATAATCTTACATGTTTAAACATGTAGGGTATTTTTCTTTTTCATAACGTGTTTTCATATTGTCTGTAACAGATTTTGTAAGTATAATGCACATTGTTTCCTACTATAAAATTTTAATTTTCTGTGTCATTATTGATAGAAACAAGCGTGAAAATCATTTTGGGATATCAATGTTATGTTTTATTTTTAATGGTTATTGAATGATTGATTTTTGTTCATTTGTAAACATTATGCATCAGAAATACTTTTGAGAAATTTGCTTTCTAATTAATAGTGAAATATGTAACATGTTCTCTAAGAATATTAAGTATAGGAGTACAACAGTTAAGGTATTGCTTGCTGACTTGATGGAGACTGAGTAGAGAAGAAGCATTTGAATGAAATTACATTAGAAATTATTTATGTTTATTTTTAACACTTTTTAAAAATGTTGATCATAAATTTTTTGTTCTTTTATTGATTTTTCAAAGAAAACCGGGAAATGAGCAAGACAAGTGGGCGACTCAATAATGGCATACCTCAGATTCCAGTGAAAAGAGGAGAATCCGAATTTGATTCTTTCAGGCAGTCTCTGCCAGTGTTTGAGAAACAAGAAGAAATTGTTAAGATAATTAAGGAAAATAAAGTTGTTTTGATTGTAGGAGAAACTGGGTCTGGAAAGACTACACAGGTTTGTTTCTTCTTTGAAGTTTATAGAAGAAAAAGTATTTTAGTCTATGTGACAATTTTATATCAAATTTATACTATGTGTATTTTAACAACAACAACAAAAACTTCTGGTTACTTTATTGGTTATTTCAGAAATAATTACTGGGAGTACATTTTCAGAATTTGTAGAATGGAAATGTTTTAAAATATTTATTTTTAAACTAGTACGTTGGGCCTTCATTTAAACAGAGGTGAGGATGTGATTTGGCATCATGGAAAGAACATGGCCTTTGGCCTTCAGTTCAAATTCCAATTTCCTCGTTTATCGGATGTGAAGTTTTAGGCTAGTCTTGTAACATCTGTGAGCCAGAGTCCTCGTTTATAAAATGGAACTAATAATTGCCGCCATTCAAGGTGAATTTTAGAGATATCTGTAAAGTGCCTACCATAGTGTTTTGTACATAGCAGCTAAATTAAAAGCAATGTTAATAACAACAAATGTTAATATAAAGTTAACCGTAGAATGCAATTAATATAACAGGTTTGACTTGGATGTTTAGAATCAAAGTACTTCATTATCATGAAGTTTCACTCGTAGCGTGATAGATTGGAGGTAAGTGGCACAAGGCTATGACCTTTTCTTGTTTATGTCCTTTGACATGTTAGCATGTTAAAATAGTGAAATTGCTTTGCTTTTGATAGAGGTTCAGATAGAATAGTCAATATAATTTTACATTTTTTTCTTTTATGGTCAGATAAATTTGCTTTTGACAATTGCTTAAGATTTCCTATGGTTATATTGGTTGTTTTAATAAATATAGTCAGTAGGTAAGGCAAGGTGGGAGAGAGGTTGACTATAAACTTTACCAATTATTTACTTGTAGGACTTAACCATTTTCACAGAAGTGTAGCTCTTTATCCTTAAAACCTGAGCCTGTAAAACTAAATAATTAAAAACATGATGACACTTGTATCTGAAAACAATATGTAAGGTTTTTCTTTAGCATGAGTCCTTTTATGATTAAGTGAAATTCTGTGGAGTCACTCCAAAGAATCTGTCCAGATATCTTAGATTGTTATAATTGTTTTAGTATTAGAGTTACTTTTTCCAGTAGGTGTTAATTGTGACGGTTTTAATTATATTGAATAGACATTATGAAAGTTTTGATAAATATAATAAATATGTTTTTATTTAAATTATTTGAATGTCCTTGCTAATGATATTTGTATACTGGAATTATGTATGACTATTTTCACAATTATGTATATCATTTTACTAGATATGAAAAGCTACTTGAGAATTTAATTAGGAATTAAATATGCTCTTTGCTTTTCAAAAGAAACTATTAATCTAATGGGTTTAAACCTAACAAATAATTGTATCTTGTTTGAGGAGTTAGAGTAAAATTACTAATGTTTCTGTTCCATAAAATATAAATATAACAGAATTTAAAGTTAATATCATTAGCCAGTTTCATCTTGCCTTTAGTAGCATTAGGAAATTAAGTGACTTTTGAATTTTCATATTCATTATTCATGTTCATTATGTAAAATGCAAACATTATGGAAAATATTCATAGAAAGTGAAAGATTTCAAATTCTCTTGCCACCTTCCCTCCCTGGTCAGAAACTTGAAGTATATATTTCAGTGGTTTTTTTTTTTGAGTATCTTTGTTTTGTTTTTGTTCTCTTTACAGTATTGATATATATTGTTTTTTAAAACAAACTTGGGATAATATATATATTTTGCATCTTGCTTTTTTTCACTTAATAGATATTAGATACTTTTTCATGTCAGTACCTAGACATATACCTCACTTTTTGAACAACTGTGTAGTATTCCTGAACATTTTTGTAATAACAATGATAAAAATAACAGTTTACTGTGTGCGTGCTGGACTTTTATAAGTTGTCTCGTTTAAACCTCTCAATAACCCCGAGAAATGTAGGCTTTTTGTTATCTCTTTTTACAGATGAGGAATAAAAGCTAAAACTTACAGATGTTAATCTATCCAAATTCACATGGCTAGGAAGTGGCAGAGCAGGAATCTTATTCTTGTATTGTACTTACTTTCTTATATTGTATCCTAATATTTCTTTGCTAATTTGTGGGAGTCTTTTAATAGGATAAATTCCTAGAAGAGAAATGCTGGATCAAGAATGTGGCAGTTAAAATTTTAGTAGCTAGAGTAACTGGTTATTGTCTATTAACTTGAAAAAGAGTTATTGTATTAAAATAGTATTGAAAGTATTGGAAGTTCCTGTTTTTCCAAAGCTTGGGCAACAATGGATATAATTTTTTTTACCTTTAACAATCTGATAAGCAAAAAA